GAATGGTCAAAAAAGCAACTATAGCCAGGACTGTTGAAGAAAGGCCCAGGCTGACTTCTCCCTCATTTCTGCTGCTGTTACCTTTCTGGAAAAGCCTGCTGCCCAGCGCTTTGCTTTTGCTCTCCACAGTGGGAAGACTTGTCCTCCTCCAGCACTTCCCCCACCGAGCAGCAGGCAGGTCTCCATGCCACGCCCAGGAAGGCTTAAGACCCAACGAGACCCAATGGAGTCAACACGCCATCCTCCTGGATTGAATCCTCGGGTCCCACAGCCAAATGCCTTAGTACCTGCAACCAGCAGTGGTTGCTGTGCCTCAAGATGGTACGTGCAGAACGAGAATCGTGGATCTTGTCAGTTAATCAGCACCAAGGAGATTGTGATCCAGGAGGGCCGGCCTCTCCTCTTCTCGCCCATCCACAAGGGGAACACCAAGGGGCCTGCTACTGGCCCCAGCTGGAGGCTCCTTGGCACGAGGCTTCCAGACCGACAGGTCCTGGGGACTGACGGACAGGACTGCAATCTTAGCTCCCTCTCATTGTAAAAATCAGACACAGAAAAATTGCACAATAAGGTGAAATTACAAAGTAAAAGAGAAAGCAGCAGCCATGAGCAAGAGAAAGAGGTGAGCAGAAAGACAGCCGTGAACACCATGCTGCTAGGAGCCCAGCAGAGGTGAGGACACAAGGCGGCCTGAGGGAGAGAGAGAGAGTTTTGGCTTTATTGAGAAAGATTTATAGAAGAAAAAGAGAAAGCCAAGAAGGAGAAACCCCTTGTTGAAAGACAGGTTTCCGCTGTTTGAGATGGAGCACCACAGGCAGAGGGCGGAGGCAATGAGGGGCCCTGCTCCTCGCCCCCTGCTGTGCCCCCACCATGAGGATTCCTGTTCTCAGCACTTTGGCCTTAAGGAGACTTGAGTTTCTTAGTCCGTGGGGAAGTTCCATTCTCTGCTTTCACCACTCCATTTTCATGGTAACCTGGGCAGTGGAGAGAGAAATATACAGGGTGTCTGAGACTGAAGCAGGAGGGGACGGCAGGATGGGGCAGCCCCCGCTGCTGCACAGGGCCAAGTCAGGGGGATACAGGGACGCAGCTTCCCACGGTGATGGGAAGCCAGCAGATAGCCCCCAGTAGGGTCCTGCCTTCTCCACTATCTTGGACAAGTGGCCCTGTTTGAGGGGCTTGGTCTCTGTCCTTTAGCAGGAGGGACCTGGGGGTGACACACAGTAAAACTCAGAAGCAGGCAGATGCCTGCCTGCCCCGGCCTGGGGCTAGGGCTAGATGCTGGCTGAGATCACTTAGAGCTCCCAATATCCTCAGTTCCTCTGGGGCCCCTGCAGGGCACCAACCCATTTCAGCAACTCTCAGGAATGGTGGCAACAGAAGGGAGGGGCATGAGAGGCTATAGGGACAGGCCTTTGGCAGAAAAACTGCTCTCTTTCTACTGTTGTTAAAAATACCTCCGTGTGCTCACTCAGAGAGGTACATGTGACCGCAGCCTCAGGCCCTGCACCTCCCCTGCCAGCCAGGTCACACCCAGCTGCACACGTTTCTGGTTCCTATACACACGAGCCCTTGCCAAGCAGGTGGCTACCTGGGGAAAGGCCAGTGAGTCAAAACCTAGAGCCTGGGGCCCACCTGCGTCTAGACAGACAGTGCAGGATTGGCAGTACCTGGGGACTTGGTGGGGGAGGTGATTCCTACTGTGCATGCCCGAGCCAAAGGAGAAGTGGGTGTCCCCGCCTTGCTGCCTACCTAGCACTGTGTCCCTATGAGTCATTACTGAAGACAGAGGAGGAGTCAGCAAACTGGGAGGCAAGGGCAGGCAGAGATATGGAGCAAAGGGTAGGTGAGGACAGTGCTACTAGGCAGCACAGAGAACGGGTGCCAGCAGCGGCAGCAGCGAAACTTGGCTGGGGTACAGAAGCCACCCTGAGGACATGTTTCCCGCCAGAGCTCCCCACCCAGCCATGGCCCTGCCCTGCAGTAGCCAAGGCTCCAGCCCTGCCCATAATCTTTCCTTGGCCCACACCCTGACACGTGCCAGTCAGAGCCAGGAGCCCCAGGCCCAGGAAGGAATTGGGGAGGAGGAGCCACAGGACTGGTCTTCCAAGGAGTACCCATGGAGTCCGGGACCAGCTCCTCCCTACCTGTTCCAGACAGACCTCGCCTGGCTCTGCTCTCTGCCAAGGGCCCTGGCACTCACCACATTCCCTCTTGATGAGCCTGGCTGGTAGTCTTGGGGCAGCTGGGACTCTCCGCTTGGCACTCTGCTCGTTCCAGTATTCCCGCCAGTGCCGCAGCTGGGAGTGGATGAAGCGCCACATGAGCCACGCCTGGGCAGCACACACCAGTAGCAGCACGCAGAGCCTGTGTGGGGCGAAGGTGAGAGGGGCTTGAGGAGGGGCCACAGCCTTGGGGCAGGGTGGGGGCAACAAGGGGCAGCTCCCGTGGCCCCGCACTCAGGGCCTCACCACCACCATCACCAGGAAGAGAGTGTGCTCCAGTCAGTCTCTGCTCTAGCACACTGCAGGCTTGGTAACGTGACGGGGCTGAGCAGACTGGAAGGAAATGGCAGTGGCAACAGACACACATCCAGGTCTGCACTCACACTGCTCCCAGGCCTAGGCAGATCCATGGCTGTGTCTCCTTTGCATCCACAGCACAGAACAAGCTAATGGAAGCCCCACAAATACTGGTGGAATTCCAGTAACTTGAATTATGATGCAGCTGAAATAATTCCTGAAGAGCGGCTGCTCATCTTGAGTGTCCCTTAAAAGCAGAACAGCCCTGGAGAAATCACCCCACCCGCCCCCGGGCCCATGGGCTCATAGACACACTCATCTTCCTCACCATCTCATCACCACTGGCCAGGCCATTGAGGACATGGCTTTAAAAAGCCCACACGAGGCTGTAATGATCAGCTGAGGCTCTGGATATGAACCTCGGCACCCTATGAAGCACTGGACACATGTGAAGGAATTCACATTTGGACAGACACCCAGATTACAGTCTAAGAGAACCAGGGCCAGGAAGTGAAAATGGTTTTGATGGAAGCAGAGGGCTGGTATCTCTCCTCTCCTCAGGCCTGATGTCCAGAGATTTCCGTTAACTATCAACATGCAGAAAATTCAAGGGCTTGCCACCTCCTGATCTTCTGTATAAGTTGTATCAAGTTCAGAAGGTTCTTGGCAGTGCTCAGGGAGCCCTGACCTATTGCCTCGGGCTTCTGCCCAACTCACCTGCAAAGCAAAGTGTTGAAGTTCCCTTTCTCAGGATCGAATGCTTGGTTTTCCATGCGAGCCAGTCCAAAGCCAATGGCCAGCACGGCAAGGGTGAGGATGAAGAGGCGGGTGACCCCAAAAACAGCAGCCCAGGCACTGAATCTGTTCGCAGAGGCAGAAGAGAAATGTCAGCCTTTAGAGCCCTTAAAGGAACCTTCACCCACTTCTCCAGAAGGGACCTTAAGTAGGAAGAGGAGTCAGGGTGGCCTAAGAGGGTGCTTGAGGGATAAGACAGCCAGAATAAGATGTTCCAGGATTTAAAAAAAAAATGGCCTCAGGATGCTGCCTGCATCATAGTGGGAGCAGGCAGTGTGCACCCAGGAAGGCACCCCCCAGTCATCCAGGCCCCACTTACAGCTTCTCATTGTTTTCGTCTGCAAAGTAGAAGAGTCGAGCCATGTGGAAGAGGAGCTCAGTCAAGTACTGCAGCAGCAGCAAGATCAGGCCCAGGCGGCTCAGGCTGTGGGAGAGACTAGCCTTACACTCAGCTCAAGATGCCAGACAGAGCATGGGCCACTGCATGGGCTCAGCCTGTCCCCTGTGCCAGGGCTCTGCTTTCCACCCCCACTTTGTGCAGCTGTTCCTATGTCATCCTTTAAGATTCAGTTTAGCTGTCATACCTTTAAGAATTTTTCCTAATATGACCCGCTGGCCTTTGACCGGTCTGTCTGGGTCAGGTGCCCTTGCCTGCTCCCACTGTGAACCTGGCCTATGTTCTTCCCCGTGCTTCCCCTCTGCATTCACCACTTAGGCTGGAACCAAGCACATGAAAGGTGCTCATGGCAAGTTTGCCAAGCTCTGAGCACAGAAATATGAGGTGTCCCTGCTGTCTGACTCTGCACTATGCAGGACCACAGAGCCGAGAGGGCACAGAGAAGCAGGAAGCTCCGTCCACGTGGTCCTGCCTGCACCTTCTCCCCTGGTCCTCACCATACTCTACTGGGTGACAGCGCCACTCACATGACACATGAGCACCCAACACAGGGCAGAGCTAGCACCACCACACAGACTGCAGCCCTCAGAGACCAATAGCATTAACGCTGCTCTTGGCCTCTGGCGCCAGGGCCAGGGCTGAACACTCCCTCACTTCCCTACTCTATTAATCCAAGTCACCGGTTCTCACAGGATGCCTGGGGGCAGGAGCCAGGAGACAACTGGCTGCAGCATCTCCAGGCACTCCAGCAAAAAGTTAGTATACACAGAGGGTGCTAAAAGAACTATGCACATTTTAAGAGAGGAAACAACTATGTTAAAATTATAATACTCAATATATACCTGTAACAAAAGAACAATCTAAGTTACATTAGCATCTCTTGTAATTGCAGAAGTCTAACATGACTTGAGAAGTACAAGTTTAATACATGTGTTCCCTTTCTTAAAATGTGTATACTTTTTTTGGCACCCCGGGTATATAGCAAGTTCTCAAAATGCCATCCAAGAGCGAGGCAAGTACAAGGCTTTCTCCTGCGCTGCACGGATAAAGCTCAGAAAAGGCCCAAACTATCAATGGCATCACTTATTCATCAATAGGATTCTTTTCATAACAGAGACTCTCAAGGCCAAACACTATAGCAACACTCTCCACTTCTAGAACAACCAAGAAGCAAACGATTCTCCATTTTGTCATAAACAAAGGGAAGGGAACCCCAGAGTTATGAGCAGCATGAGCCACTGGATGCTGTGAGGCAGGAGCCAGCTTGGGGAGGCCTACGCCCGGCAAAGCCACACCTAAGGGCCAACATCCTTTGAGTTCCTGCTTGCTCGCTCTCATGTTTGGGAAGTCACTCTTCTGGGTTCGCACAGCAGGTGACACAGCGCACCACAGTGCTCACCACATTACACTGCCCTTCTTCCCGGCTACAACTGTCTTAGCCACGGAGGTAAAGGAACTGTTCATTTTCTGTCTCTATAGTCCTGTCTTAGCATGGTACTCAGCACACAGAGTGCGTCCAATAAATGACTGCTAATTAAATGACTGTGAGGACAAATGCATGGACAGAAAAGGGCAAGGAAACCAGGCTGGCTCCAGGCCTTACTCACTTTAAGAGGTATGCTCCGGCTATGTGGACTAGGTACAGGCAGATGTACTGGAGCTGGCGGGGAATTTCTTCCTGGAAACAAGAGAAACAGGTGGTAAACGTGCTCATTCCCCCGCTGGAGATGTAGGGAATTTCAGGAACGTGCGGGGGTGAGAGAAGCCAGGCCGCTCTAACACACACTCTCATGTCACACCAGAGCCCATGCATTGGGCCACTGAAAAGTCCAAGGGCATTCAGGTCCTTGCACCTGGTAGTAGAGGGTAAGGTTGGGGTTGAGAAAAAAGAGACAAGCACTGGGGAAGAGGGCTTTTAGAAATAATTCAGAGAAATGATTAATAAGTTTTTTAAAGACTGTAGGAATGGCAAAAAGCTCTCCATTCTGTATCTAGAAGAGAAGAGTTATATTTCCTTCTCTGGTGGAGGGGCAGGCAAGAGACTGACCCTGGCAACCTCCTTTCACGGGGTCTGCGTGGTGCTTTGGCAGGGAGAGGGGCTGACTCAGCATTTTACTCTACTCCTCAACACAGTCCCAACACAACCCAACACTCCATGCTGCCAGAGAAAAGGGAGGGGAGGCCCTGCTGGGAATAGCCAGAGCAGAATAGAGAAGTGAGCACTCACCTTCCGTACCTTCTGGAAGTACAGCTCAGGGAGCGCGTGCAGCCAGTAGGCCAGCTGGCACAGGTAGAAAAACTTCACCTGGAAGCTAGAGATAGGGGCGAGTCACAGATGCAGGACAAAGGAAAATGCCCAGCAGGTGCTCACCAAGCACAGGAGGGAAAGGCCCAGGCCACTCTGTGTGTGAAGAGCTACTCAGGGAAGCCCTGGCTTCCCTGCTGGCTTGGGCCCTCTCCACACATAAGACCACTTAGAAAGACACAGAAAAATCCATGGATAGAAAAAAATAATACAGAGGGCCAGGCATTGTGGTTCATGCCAGTAATCCTAGCACTCTGGGAGGCCAAGGCAGCTGGTTTGCCTGAGCTCAAGAGTTCAAGACCAGTCTGAGCAAAAGCAAGACTCTGTCTCTACTAAAAATAAGGAAAACTAGCCAGGTGCTGTGGCAGGTGCTCCCAGCTACTGGGGAGGCTGAGGCAAGAGGATCACTTGAGCCCAAGACTTTGAGGCTGCTGTGAGTTACGACACCACAGCACTCTACCCAGGGTGACAAAGTGAAACTCTGTCTCCCTCTACCAAAAAAAAGAGGAGAGCTTCTTCATCCTCAAGGAGGGAGCCAATCACAGACCAGTGTCACTGGAGATGGCAACTAATACATATGCTGAACAATGAACGGATCTAAGCAGCAAGGGCAAAGTCTACCTCAGCTCAATATCCTTTGGTGCTGATGTTCTTATAGGTCTCAGAAAGGCAAAGGGTGGCCTCCTGAGGGGGATGCCCTCCTGGCATCCTGGTAGCACTGAGAGAGGGAGACGCAGTCTCTGCCCGAGCATCGGCCATGGGAGGCTGGAGGGAGATGTGCGTGAATGTGAGTGGGTTGCTGAGAAGGTGTGAAACCCTGAGAGCTACATGGACATGCTCTGCTTTCGGGTCTGTCTCATGCAGTTAGGCACCTCTGTGAGAGGGGTTGGTACAGATGACACTTCATCTGGGGATTCTCGGCCCGCAGGCCCAGGGTATGATAGCATCCTCCTGCCAGCTGGCCCACTGTGTTCTGGCCACAAACTGGGATGAGAAGGCAACGGACCAGCTCGCTCCTCCCTGAGGACCAAGTCATGAGAATACTCACGGGAGGTACACGTGTGGGTAGTCTTCCCAGAGGCTTCTTGGGTTTGTTAAGTATCCTTCCTGTAGAGGGTAAGAAAAGAGACCATTCAGAGACAGATGTGGACATGAGACCCACTGGGGCCCAGGACGCACCTAGTCCCCACCTGCTGAAAAGAGGAAGGAACGAGAAATATGAAAAGAAAAGCCCCTTCTGTGTGGAATCCCCTAGTACTTGGCTAGGTGCTTTAGTGTCAGGTTGGAGAAGGGAGCCATACTCTGGGCTCTGAAGACCTGTGCCTGAACATGAGTCCAACACTTACTATTCCATTGCATCTTCTGGGCAATGTAGTTAGCTCCAGTCAGCTCATGTGAAAAATGAAGACAAAAATACCCACCGTCAGGCCAGGCACAGCGGCTCACACCTGTAATCCCAGCACTCGGGGAGGCCGAGGAGGGTAGACTGTCTGAGCTCAGGAGCTCAAGACCAGCCTGAGCAAGAGAGCAACCCCATCTCTAAAACTAGAAAAACTAGTGGGGTATAGTGGTGGGTGCCTACAGTCCCAGCTACGTGGGAGACTGAGGCAAGAAGATTACTCAAGCCCAGGAGTTTGAGGGTGCTGCGAGCTATGACGCCATGACACTCTACCCAGGGTAACAGAGTGAGACTGTCTCATATATATATACACACACACACACACACACACACACACACACACGTATGTTCTTTTAAATGCAAATTTAGCTCCCAATAAGAAAGGGAACCCTCTCTCCAGGACCCAAACAGATAGGAAGCTAAAAGCCGGAGCAGTAAGGCGCCACTGTAGAAGCCTTGAAGGTGTTATTCTTGGGGTTAGGGTTTCTGCACCCACGTGGGAACAAAAGATGTCTTGGGAGGTAGGACCTAAGACTTTGTATAATCAGGACCCCCGAAAGGCTATAATCTAGAAAGTATTTGCAGATCAACACAAGAGAATGGGCTCGGTGCCTGTGGCTCAAGTGGCTAAGGCGCCAGCCACATACACCTAAGGTGGCGGGTTCGAATCCCCAGCCCAGGCCGGCCAAACAACAATGATGGCTGCAACCAAAAAATGGCCAGGCATTGTGGCAGGCGCCTGTAGTCCCAGCTACTTGGGAGGCTGAGGCAGGAGACTCGCTTGAGCCCAGGAGTTGGAGGTTGCTGTGAACTGTGATGCCATGGCACTCCACCCAGGGAGATAGCTTGAGGCTCTGTTTAAAAAAAAAAAAAAAAAAAACACAAGAGAATGACCGTATCTGCTCAGCCTGGGCTCAGGAAGAAAACAGAATTATTACCCCAAAAATCTACAACCTCGGGTTCACCCTGAATTTGGAGTTCAACTCCACAGGACCACCTGTGTGGTCCAGGAACCAGCAAGCTAAGAAATTTGTATTAATAGTGTCATGGGCCAGTGATACTCTGGGGACAATTATTCCCACAGATAAAACTTTGGTAAAGATAAATTTACAGCTGGGCGCGGTGGCTCGCGCTTGTATTCCTAGCCCTCTGGGGGGCCAAGGCAGGAAGATTGCTTAAGCTCAGGCCTTCAAGACCAGCCTGAGGAAGAGTGAGACCCCATCTCTGCAAAAAAATAGAAAAACTAGCTGGGCATTTTGGTACACTTCTGTAGTCCTAGCTACTCAGGAGACTGAGGCAAGACAATTACTTAAGCCCACAAGTGTGAGGTTGCTGTGAGCTAGGATGCCACGAAACTCTACCCAGGGCAACAGAGCAAGATTCTGTCTCAGAAAAAAGGATGAATTTACAAAGCAAGTTTACAAAACACAGGAAGAAACGATCCACCACAAGCAAGATCAGCCACACTATAAGAATCCAATAAAATATATTGGATGAATGAATGAATGATGGATGCTTTAGACAGTTTCTCCCTTCTGAAGAAAGATGCCTCTTATTTGTCACTCAGAAAAAGCAGAGAAGATGCGATTAGTATGACCTCATTTTAGAAATAGGGAAATGGAAGAAATTGACAGGAAATGTCTCCTGAAAGGAGATGGTTTTCCAAAACCACTGTTGAAATCTGAGCTAGGCCACCAACCTCCTGGTCCAGTAACTTCAGGCCAGTTTACTTCAGTAAATCAGAAAATCAACTGAGCTGGTAGTTTTGATGGAAATAATGCTGAGAGCCTCCAAAATCCACACTGGGATCAAGGGCGGGGGGTTCTGCAGCGCTCCGGAGAACACAAAGGCCAACACATCTTGGTGGGAAGAGACCTAGGTTATTATCTACCAAGTGAGGGCTGATCCACCCACCTTGGAGTCACTAAGTGACCTCTGGCATGTCAGTATACATTTTGAGTTTAGTCCACAGCCCAAATCTTGTCACCTTGACACAATGACCTGATAGGTCCAATCAGATGCATGTACCAATGCAGTCAAGGAAACTTAGTTTAGAAAGAAAAGGCATGAACTTCAATCCCACATGGCCTCACCTCCTGTCTCATGAGCAAGGCCCTCCTCCCTTGGTGCACACAGATGGAGGTGTGGAGGTGGAGGACCCTGGTACTCCCACGTGGCACTGGTGGTGGTCATGGACAGCTCCTTCAGACACACTGCTGCTGTCCATGCCTGTGTCCCCCCTCCACCCACACATCCACCTCCAGCTGTAGGCTACCTCATTCCAGGGAAATCAGAGGTGAGAATGTCTCTTCCTAAAGGAAGCAGCAATGTGGCTAGCACAAAAAAACTGTACTTCTGGGACTGGGGTGGTAGAGGAATTTCTGCCAGGAAAAAAAAAAAATTGGCCAAGAGAGAAGCAGTACTGACAGAAAATCTAAAGCCCAGATAATCTTGTGCTTTTACAAAGGAATGGTGCTCAGCTCGGCCTCTTTACTTAGAAGACAAAAGGGTCAGAACTTGGAAGCCACAAGCAAAGAAAACTCCTCAGAAAAATGCTGCCTGCTTGCAAACGTCCAATCCACTGGGGCTGGAGGAGGAGGGGGTGGAAGGGGAGAGCAGGGGGCTGGAAGAAAAGTGACTCATTGCTCCGAGAACAGCCTTTTCCAGACCTCTGTCCAGGCAGCTGTCTCGGGGCAGATCGGGGCTGAGGCACCCTGAGCTCAGGCACGCAAAGCCCCTGAGTCCCCAGGGGGCCAACTGTGGCCCAGGGAGCACCTGTAACCCACCCCAAATCCTATCCACCCATAGACCTCGGCAGATGGTCTGGAGGAGCTTTTGAAATCCTTTGTTCTTTTCTGATTCTACAAATTGACCCATGAGCTAAGCAAGGCCTCCACCAGCTGGAACAGCCCCTCCTGGTTCCCCAGCAATCTTCCTTTGTGGTGCTCGAATAAAAAGAACCAAAAAAACAGCAGAATCTAGACATAACACAGGCAGCTGCTGCCTCGGTTCAGACACACCTTATATCATGCGTCCATCAGGAATCACCACGCAGTAACAATCTGCTCTAAAGCAAATAGTCGGTTAGTGGAAACCAGTCCTGATACAGGACTAGCACGGAAGGAAGACCCTTCCATACTGAGTTCTCACTGACCAGTAGACTTTAGGTTCCAAATTTAAAGTCAGACATCCCCAGGAAGTCAGACTGGGGAGACTAAATGCCCACCACCCAACCCTGCTGTTTCCACTGGAGATTTTTTTCCCCGTGAACAACAAAGAGTAGATCAAAGGTAGATTAAAAGTTGGAAGTTGACATTCTTACAGAGTTACTGGTTGGTCCAGCCACATTCCTACCATCATCACTCTACCGGTGTATATACAGACAGAAATTTCTGAATCAAACACCAAAATAAAATTGGTATTTCTGGTGAGAAGAGTTTGGGGTACATGTTTTATTTTTCTTTAACTTCCCTATATTACTCATTTTTTAAAAAAATGATCGTCTATGATGTCTATAAAAATAATTCCCTACTTAAAAAACAACTACTGCAGGCTGGAGAAAGAAGACGCATTTGCAGTTCGCTCCTTCATTCTCATGGCGGGTGTTCAGTGAGCACTCAGTACAGGGCTGGTGCTGCAGCAGGGCACACAGCAGTGAGCGTGGGGCCTGCTAGCAGCAGCTGAGGGTCTAGTGGGAGAGACAGACAGTGCACACACACAGACAGGAAACACGCCAGCAATGAGAACATGCAAATGGGGGTGTTCTCTGAGGAGGTGACACATAGGTGGAGACTTGGACAGTAAGAAGGAACCTCTGGCCATAGTATGTCAGGGACCGAGCACTTGAGCAGAAGAGCCACCCCTGCAAAACCCAGGAGGCAAGGATGGCCAGGAGTGCTCAAGAAAACAAGGCAAGGGCTGGGGGATGCGGCCAGTGAGGGGAGACAGCAGCTTGGCAGGGCCCAGATTGAGCGAGGATGAAAAAATGATTTTGGCAGTTAAGCCAAGAAATGTGTGATTTTATTTATATTTTAAAGAGCCAAATCTCTGGCTGAGCAGAAAGTGGACTGGGGTAGAAGGGTACAAGAGCCCCCTTCTGGAAAAAAGATACTCAGGAGTCCAGGCAAGAGATGGTGGAGGGTTGGACTGTAGGTCAGGGGTTCTCAACCCTGGAGATCTGGGGACAGGTAATGTTTGGTTGTGAGGGCTGTCCCGCACACTACAAGGTATTTAGTAGTATCCCTGGCCTACACAAACTAGATGACAGTAGCACTGTGCCAAATGTCCCCTAGGGGGGCAAAATCTCCCAGGGTCAAGGAACCCTGGACTAGGGGAAATAGCACAGATAGAAAGCAGTGGAATCTCCCTGTGTTCTGGACGTAGAGCTGCCAGGACTCACTGATGAACAGACTTGAAATGAGAGAAAGAAGATGAAACATCTGCATCAGAACAGAAAAACACAATTTACAAAAAATAGCTACGTTTACTCCTTTTACAGAACTCCTTCTCTTTTTCTTCAACCACTTTCTTCCCAGGCAGAACAGGAGTCAAATGGTGTTATCGGGAGCTGGGGTCTCTAGAGTTTCCCCTGGTCCTCTTTCCTGTTAGGTATATAGAGTGGGTAACTGGCTCTTCCTGGAGTGAATATGTTCCCTAAGGAAGGCCCACATGCTCCCACGCTAATTCACCATCAGTGCCATCAAGTCCTTCGAGGACTAGAGAAGCAGAGACAGCAGTCAGTGTTTCACACTCTGGAAGGGGGTTAAGCAACCTGGCTCTGGCCTCCATCCCATGTGTCACAGCTGGTGTGGAATGTGGGAGTGGGGTGAGGCTGAAAGGGTAAAAGTGATCTAGAGATGAGGCAATGCCTGCAGGCTCATTTGATGTCGTTGCTATCCTAAGGCCATTCTGCTTCAGAGTAGCATTAACTCAAAATCAAGGATTTTAGGAGAGGCCTGAAACCCAGAAGTATAGAGACTTGTGTGCACTGCACAACGGCAGGGGGCAGCACTCACACAATGTAAGTCTGCTGGAGAGGATAGACGTCTAGGTCCCTCATTTTAAATCCCCAGTGTTCTGCTTAGGAAAAATGTTCTGCGATAAAATGATAATACACAAAGGACATGTTGACTCCTGCTTTGAGAAGATGAATTCAGCACTCAGCTGGAGACAGAGAGTTCCTTACAATGAGAGAAGACAGTGCTGGTGAGGGGTCTGTGGAAGGCAGAGAAGGAAATTTCTAAGAGGTCATAGTGTTGCCAGATTTTCCAAGCCATGGGCCTAGATTCTCACGGGACCAGGTTACAGAAGGACGGTGCTCCAGATAGGGGTGAGTGCTAATTAAATGCTTCCTTGCACGGCAGGCAGGGTCTTGTTACAGAGAACCCCAAAGGACTGTCCACATTCCTTTGTACGAAGGAATTTTGCTGTTATCAAAGGTTGCTTGGAATAAGACTGCTATTGTGTAGAAAGGGGAGGTAGATAAATTATCTGGTCCTCCAGGCATTTGTCAGAATGGCATTGACTCTTACAGGATTCGATGTGTGGACAGGGCAAGGCTGCCCTCATTTATGGAAGGCCAAAGTAGTAAAACAGATGTATGCTGGACTTGAAACTAGACCCCCAAGTCCAAACAATCCTTGCCACTTCAAAAACCATGTGACCACAGGCACACTGCAAAATTTGAGCTTGAAACTCTTTAATCTACAACACGAGTATCAGAATGAACCATTTATCTTATGGTACAGTGTTCGTAGAAAGGACTTGTAAAACAATACAGTGTCATGCAGATATATGGTACTGTTATCGCAGTATCACCTAATAATTCTAACAGGTGTTTACTTGGACAAGATGACTCTCTCCAGCTATAAACTAACATCTATACTATTTGGCCTCTCACTGCACTACCGTAAGGATACAAAAATAGTTCCAGCTCTAAGAAACTTGCTCCGTGCTCTCCCCCCCTCCCCCTTAAGCCTTTCATGGTCATTCTATCAGTAATCCAAGAGAGACCGGGCTCTCCACTCTTCAGCAGTCCCAGGATCACTCACCGTCACTACCACGTAGAAGCACCAAATCACTGAGCTGAGATGAAAGACGACCAGCTGTCCAGATTCATTGAACTTGCTGTGCTTGACCTTGGAGAGATGAAGCCGTTTGCTGATTTTCTAAAGAATAGAGAAAATACCTTATATTATTATATGAGTATAACCATGTTGGGCAGATTTCAAGCTACTGTTCTCCCCGCAAAAGGGTTGAATATCATAAGAAGGTTGAAGCCATAATCCAAGTGCTTTAGCGCAGGCCTACTGTGTGCATACTGTGCTTAATTTAGGGCAAGCATCCTAAAAAAGCGGCAAGATGAATGCCCAGCCTACCCCCTCACCGTGCTGGGTCTGACAGACCCAGAAGGATATCTTGCCATATTTCAGACAGCTTTTTCCTCATGTAGTAAGTCCTGCTGTCCCACATGCTGACTACAGAAGGCTGTGAGAGGGGACAGAAACTAAAGTGTGGCAAGGAACATCCAGTCAACAAGACTGGGTTGCAAACTAGGGGCAAATGGATTCAGGGCTGCGGTTCCCTCCAAGGCAAGGCCCTCCACACCAAGGCATCTCCCCAGGCAGGTCACTCACATCTAAGATGTACTCCTGAACCACAGCGTGCAAGATGACGGTGATGAAGATGTAGAACAAGATGGTGACCAGGTCCTTGGGGCCGTAGTGGTAGTGCACGGTCTCACTGTCTGTGGAGGTAAGAGGAGTCCCGTCAGCGTCCCTGGGTGTGGGCAGAATATGCCATCTGTATTTCCCACAGAAGAAGGTTTCTGCCCCAGTATCCTGTCCAACCTGTCTGTTTTCCTCGAGAAGTACCAGTGCGGAGGCTAAGTAGCACCAAGCTCACCGCCATGCTGTGACGGCTGTGTATCTCCCAAATCTGGGCAAAGGAGCAGAGATGTTAGGGACCACAGCTGGAGACAACCAGCGTCCATCACTGGCTCTACCGCTCCCTGACTGTGTGACTGTGGATAAGCGACTAAATTCCCTGTGCCTTAATGTCCTCTGTAAAATGGGACTATATAGTTACACTTCATCAAGGAAGTACCGTGTGGGAGTCGAGAGAGCAGACTCAGAAGTGGACTGCCACTTTGTGTCCTTTACTTCCTACGTGACCGTGGGCACCTCTACGTGTAACTTCTCCATTCCCCAGTTTCCTCATCTGAGTTCCTGTATCATAAGGTTGTGAAAATTAGAAAAATTAATAAATATAATTAGAACAGTGCATGGCACATCATAAGTGGTAGACAGTTATTGGCTGGTGATTTGTTGTTGTTGGGCTATTGTGAGGATTAAATGATGTAATCTGCTTATCAACAGTGACACTAACTTTATGGTACACACACAAGAAATGGTGATCTATTAAAAGATTATTTAATACTAATAAGTTAGACAGAATCCCAGACAGAGAAATCTTACAGCCCCTGCTACTGTGGCCTCCTTCTCCACAGAAGGGAATATGCACCCCGCTCCAGTTCGCAGGCAGAGGCTGCAGGGCTGCGAGAGCTTGGCAGACGCCCGCCCAGTCTGGGCCGCTCTGCAGACCCAGCACCCCTGAGGCACACCGGCTGCCTTTCCAGCTGTGCCGCACTCACCCTGAGTCACACACACATGAGTCATCTCTGTGCTGGGATGCATTTACCAGAAGGTAGGCCAGGGTCGGTTTGTATCAGGGTGGCCAGGGAGCAAAGTACAGCTGACTGGGTCACTCAGGGAGTCAACCCTCACCCAGCTGCTCTGGCCTGGGAGACCACGAGTGTGGGTGGTGGGGAGGGGGCGAGAGGAGGTGGCGAGGACAGAGAGAACATGAACTTTGAAACCAGACAGCCTTTCCCTTTTCCTCTCCCTCCTCCTTTCCACAAAGAACTACTCTGTAGAAACAAGCAGATAAAAGACCTGCCTCTGGCTGCAAAGCACAGCGCCCAGCAGGGAGACTGACAGACTTAGGGTTACACCACGGACAGGCACTAAGCCCTGGCAGATGGCAGATGGAGGCCTGACTCTGGCTGGAGAGGAGGTGTGGGGTGACTGACTGTTCAGGGTGAAGAGGGTGGCATCAGAGCCTGGGGAGAGGCAGGCCAGTAGGGGTAGGGGGTGGGGGGTGGCATCCACACAGGATGCAGGCAATGAGGCCTGGCTGCCGGGGACAGTGGGGGCTGGCAGTTATGGCAAGTGATGAGGCTGCTGCTACCGGCCTTGTGAGCCACGTGGAAGGGTGTGGACTTTATCCTCAAGGCAATGTGGAAACATCGAAGAATTCCAACTAAACAGGAAAATGATGAAATCTGTGTTTTGGAAAGTTTACTCTGACAGCTGTGAACACACCTACAGGTAAGGACACCAGCTGGGAAGCTGCCCCTGCAAGCCAGGTAAGGAACCAGGTGGCCTGCATGAAGGCAGGGAGGGAACTGATAAGCCCGATGACAGACCCACCCTGACCCACCAAAGGGCTGAGCTGTAGGAGTGTTAGACACCAGGACCAAAGGAGGAAATGGGAGGATGAGGAGAGAATGGGACGAGGCCTCTGACTCTGCTCTGCCACTAAGGAGCTGGGATGATATTTTCCCCACTTTCTTCCTAAGGGAGGATCAAAGGAGACTAATTAGATGGTAGCATATTTTGAAATTATAAGATAATTAAATACACACACAGTTTCATCATTAAGACCATCAATATTAGGCAAAATGGGATTTGTACTCAACCAAACAAGCACAGTCCACAAGTCAGTGAAATAACACCTGTGAAGATTTTATCCATTTTCAAGCCTTTGAGGTCACATGACAACTTTTACCCCCAAATACTATGGATCCAAAGACATGTGACCACAGCCTTTAGCCCTTCTTGAAATGAGAATGCATGAATAAATCCATCCTGTCTTCCTTCACTGTTGAGTGTGACGTGCTTGTGTGTCCACCAGCTAACAAACCACATGGAGGGCTCCATGCTGGGGAGATGGCAGTGAGCCACGTGGGCACAGTCCCAGCCAGCCTGGAGCTTAGCCGGTACACATCAAATCCAGCAGCCAAAGAATTACACAACTCAACAACAAAAAATCAAACAACCCAATTAAAAAATGGGCAAAGGTCTTCTGAATAGACATTTCTCCGAAGAAGAAATCAAATGGCTGGTAAGAACCTGGAAAGATAGTGGTCATCAGGTAAATGCAAATCAGAACCACAATGAGCTATCTGCTCATACCCATTAGGATGGCTACAATTAAAAAAGAAAACTTAACAGAAAATAACAAGTGTTACCCAGGATGCAGAGAATCTGGAACCTTTGTGCATTGATGGTGGGAATGTAAAATAGTACGGCCACTATGTAAAACAGGACGCTGTTTCCTCAAAAACATAAAAATAGAATCACCATCTAGTCCAGCAATTCTACTTCTAGGTGTTATGCTCAAAATAACTGAAAAACTGGAAGTGGAATCTCCAGTAAAATGTGAGCACGTCACGTTTACAGCACCACTTGTCATGCCAGCAGAACAGGAGAAGAAGCCCGCGAGTGCACAGAGAGATGAATCAACAAAACAGGGTTTTGTTTATTCATCAAAACACGGAATATTGTGCAGCCTTAAAAGGAAGGAAACTCTGACTATGCTACAACATAAAGGTCGAGGACATGGCGCTAAGTCAAACGAGTCAGTTACAAAAAGACAATAATATATGGTTCCACTTACACGGGTATGAGTGACCTAGAGCAGTTGAATTTACAGAGGTTGTGGGGTCAGGGGAAATGGAGAACTGCTGCTTAATGGGTACTGAGTTCTATAAGATGGAAAAAGTACTAGAGATTGGTTGTATGATGACGTGAACACACTCAACACTACTGAACTGTGTGCTTCAAATGGTTGAGATGGTAAATCTGAGGCCATGTATATATTATCACAATTTTAAAAACAACAACAAAAACAGCACCCAGGTATTAACAGTGCTACAAAGTGGACCAAAAGCTGGGTGGGGAGTGAGGAGGCTGGGGGCCTGCACGGGAGGGAGATGAGGAAGGGCCCTTTACAGGTCATGGCAAGACAAGTGGAGTGTGTCCTAAAGACAGTGAAAGCTACCGGAGGACTTTAGTCACATTATTTAGAAAGACCCCTCTTCCTGCCATGCATATAGAGAAGGGGTGAGAGGGAGACCCAGGAGGCGGCACCTGTGGGTCTTCCAGGGAAGGGGTAGGTGTGCCCTGCACCAATGATGGTGGCAGAGTGAAGGGGAGGGAAGACAAATGCCTCAGGTGGATTTGGGTAAGAGAATCAGAAGAAGCAGGACTCTGTAATCTTATCTGCATCTGCAGTCCTCCCTCAGAGTTGCAGAATTCTTCAACTGGTGTTATCTGGTTTGATGCCCATAAACATCTCATGCGATAAGCAAGGAAGGTGGATGAGGAAACTACGTATCGCCCTCGTGGTCTACCTTTCACATCTCCACTGTGAGAGAGACCGGTTCGAGAAATATCCACCTTCCTTTCAACCACATTAAAAGACACACAGCGGTTAGAACTGGAATAAATGAGTGACAAGCAGCCTCCGGGTCGGGGCACACTAGAGGTGAGAGGCAACTATGGAAAACTCCAGAGTGTGGTGTCCCGTAGGGTTGATGGAGTGATGAAGCTCCTTCTCGGCCACTGTGGCCCAGGGAGACATGCAGCCCAGTGTGGCCGGACGCCCAGTATTTCAACAGCAAAGACGGAAATCTTTACATGAAATCATCTGATTCTAAAATGTGGGTGACTAATTCAAAATGTTAAAAAAAAAAAAAAAAAACCGTATGAGCCAATACCAAAGAGGCCAAAGAAAACACATCTGCAGGCCAAGTCCGACCAGGGGCCACTGGTTTACACCTCCAACCTACATGACCCCTGACACCTTTCTTCTTCCGACCCGTCCCTGTGGAGAGCATCTCTGTGCACTCTTCTAGCTTCCAGAGGAAGTACCTTCGGCAATGACCTTCCCACAGCAGGAGGGCGATCCCACGCCTCCCACCAAAGTCAGCCCTGCTTTATCTTTGATCACAGTTTAAAAAGAGACCCGCAAAAAAGGTAAAAAGAGACCTGGAATGACCAACACGAGTATTGGTTGTTTTGACCACCTCAGGTAGCAGCTGTCATTTGTGACCGACCTCCTGTTTGGTCTCCTATGATATTTTCTGGTTTCCTTCTGATGTCACCTGGAAGCAGCTTCTCCTGGCGCCTCTGCATTTTCCAATCTTGTCCAGATACCACTATGCAGTCTCTGGCCTCCTCCGCACCACCTGAGCCATGTCCTACTGTTTACTGCCATCCCATCTGCTCTGAAAACTCATTAGAGTCCGGCATCTCTCTGCCCATGGCGCTTCCTCCTTTGTGTGAAAAATTGGCTGTTTAAAGAGGATGAGTGTATGTACTCCTGGGATCCTTCTTTCTCTCTCAGTTTTCTTCCTAATACCTGTAAATCTAGATTTGTAAAATTTAATTCTATCAGTTTCTGTGTTTACAGCCAATTCTTTTTTCACCTTATTTTGATGCTTTTACACTATATATAAATCCAGAACTTAGATATGAAAAAACCTGCATCAACAAAATCCACAGGCAAATGATCACCTGGTGGAAAATATTTATAATTCAGATCAGAGACAAAGGGCTAACTTTGCTAACACGGAAAAAGCTCCTCGAATTTGAGAACTAAAAGGTTTTCAAAAATTCTGCA